AGTCAGCTGAGCCTGGGGGGTCTGGGCAGGGTTTCCCAGGGCCAGTTTGCACTTCCTGCCGCATCCCTCTCCCTCCACTGTCCTCTCTGTGGCCACTCCTCTTGGCTCAACCCTGGCCTGTGTCTGATCAATCCGCCCCTTGTGCTGCGGGGGCGGGCGGGCAGGGAGCTGTGCTCTCTGGGGTTCTGGAATAAAGGCATTTGAACAGCAGAGGAAGCCGCTCAATTAGCTGGGAAGGACAGGAGCAAGCACAGAGAGTGTGAAGACTGGGGTGTTTTCTGCAGTCTGTGGAAAGATGAAGCTTATTGTGAAGATGGAGGGCCATGCTGGTCCTGAGGAAAGGCGGCCCTCAGGCCTGGGACAGATCTCTCTCCAAGACATTCCCTCGGGACACCAGGCCCACAGCCCTCCTCCACTGTCCAGTCTGAGGGCCTGCTCCAGGAGGGCCCTCTCCACACAGGACCCTGTGCTGAGGGCCAGCCCTGGGCCAGGCTCTCTGGAGACACAGAGGAAGGAGAGGCCAACTTGGCCTCCGAAAAAGATGAGAAGTAGAGACAAGGCCTGGGACAGAACAGTCTGTGGTGCCTTGGCCAGGTGGTGCAGAACCTACTTGCCCAGGCGCCAGCGATTCCCGCTCCTCTGTGCCTGAAGGAAGGGGGGCCTGCAGCTGCCAGCCACTCCCAGGCTTGCTGCTGGGCGGTCAGGAGCTCTGAGCTCAGGCCACTACAGCAGAGTGGCCCTGGGCAGACCCTGCCCTCTCTTGGTCTCAGCTCCCGATCCGATTTACAATCAGGATGGGCAAGAGGGTCTCTATAAGCTCCCACGGTCATTAAAACAATGGCCAGCTTTTCTGTCCTGCCCCAAAGATGTCACTCGTCCAGGCCTGAGCCACTGGGGTGAGGGGTCTGAGACGGGCTCTCCCTGCCCTGTGGCAAGCGCTCGGGACACACACGGGAGACCTCAAGCTGGGTCTCCACCCTCAGCAAAGAAGTCGGGTTGGGGAGAGTGCGTGGGCACCCTGCCCCAGGGCCACGGGGCTGATATGCCCCACAGCAGGGCCCCAGGAGGAGGCAGCGGGCAGGGACACCTAGGACACCCAGGTCAAGTCTGAAGAGTGGATGTCGAGGCAGGGGTGGGGGGTGCCGCTGCCCTGTGGAGAAGACTTCTCTAGGGACTCCCAGAGGGCCGCTTGTTTCGGCTGGCAGGGCCAGGATTACCACCTGTTCCCATTTCATAGACGAGGAGCCATCTACACTCTTTATTTCTCACCTTTGGGGAGCCTTTCCTACCTTCCCCCAGCCCTACCACAGACTGAAGTGACAATAGGTCCCCTTGGGCCTCCTCCAGCCCCCAGGCTCAGGCCGTGGGCTCCCTGAGGACAAAGGTAGTATCCAGCCCCTGTCTCGTGCCCTCGCTCGAAGCTCGGCCTAAAACACCACCCATGCCCTGGGAACATTTGGCAAGGGTGGGAGCGAGGGACAGAGGAGGCCCAGCAGATCCTTCCACCCATGAAGGGGCCTCTCAAGCTGGGCTGAGCACCCAGCTTCCCCGTCTTTAGTGAAAAGCTCCCCAGTGGGTGTGGGAGTCTCCTGGAGAAAGTGGGGTGGGGGGTGGGAGGACCAGCACCCCCACCAGCTGCAACCCGGCAGCTGCCCTCCCCTTTTCTGTGGCCTCATTGCTGCCCTTCTCCACTGGGGTCCATGCACAGCCTAGAAAGGGATAGAGAGAAAAGTGTCTCCCGGGCCCAATACAAGGCTGCCTTTGTGTGGTTGTCAGATTCCAGCAGCTCAACAGCCGGACTTGGGGGGCTGTTCCCTGGGAGTACAGCCATCTGGGCAGCTCAGAGCCCTCAAGCTTCTTGGGAGCTCAAGGACGGCCAGGAGCCTCCGAGGGCTCCAAGGTGAACCCTGGTTCCTGTATGTAGGACTCAAAGAGCTCCTCAGAGGGACTGCCAGCTCAACAGTTAGTGGAGGGGAAGCAGGGCCTGGCCAGGCCTGGAGGGAACCAGACTGTGCACAATGCCATCTAGGTCCCAAAGAGGCAGTGTGGCCAGTTAAGAGGTGTAACTCTTACTAGCTGTGTGACTCTGAGAAAATCACTAAACCTCTCTGAACTCCATTTCCTCTATCAAATGGTAATGATAAATATGGCTTCTCCACTGCCACTACGAAGATAAAGTGAAGGAATACAAGAAAGTTCCTTGGCACGGGGCCTTGCACCTGGTGGGTGTTCCTGGTGGGAAGTTTGCTCTTCTTGTTAAGGGGGCCACTGTGTGGAGAAGGCCTTAGGCCTTAAGGCCTCTCATAATCCCACAGATCCCTTCCCCATGAGTCTTTGACACGGGCAGCTGCCCCTTCTCAATCTTAGGGAAAAGGCAGTTTCCAGATCCCTCCTAACCTATGACAGCCCCAGTCTCCTCCCTTGTATTGAGTGTAGGGCCCAGGGCCCCAGAGCTTCTGGGGGACCAAAAAGATAGAGGAGCCCGAGCCCCAGCTCAAGGCCTGACCCACAGAGGACACACAATCCACGCTGGATCTGGATCCCACCACAGCTCCAGTCCAGAGCCTCCCCCACTGCCGTGGACAGCAGGGGCTGCACGGGACAGGGCCGGGCAGAGTGTGGCCCACCAGCCAGGCCTGAGAAGCCTGCTCAGCACTGCACTGGGCAGCACTGCAGAGACCTCTGCCCTGGTACCTGCCGATAGCCATGGTGTCGAGAGGCCCCTTGGCCCTTCCCAAACTGTCCCTTCCTCCTTCCTTATCACCAGCCCTAGAAGCTGAGCTCCCAAGGGCCGATCATTCAGCCTAGACTGAGGTCCAGACAGAGCTTGCCTTTCTGAGGGCAGCTAGAGGTCCCCATCCTCCAGGAAGCCCACCCTGATCCCTGGTTCCCGATAGCACATCTTCCTTCCTCAGCCTGTCCATGCTCTTTACCAAGGGCCTGTCTGCCTCAGACTGGGGCTTCTCTGAGGGCAGGAAAGAAGACTTGCCCATCCCAGTATCTCCAGTAGCCCAGCACACAGGATGGAGGGGCCTGGTGCATGCCCAGACTGGCTGTCCCTGGGAGCTTCCAAACGTCCCGATAAACTAGACAGTGGTGGCCCTGCCATCTCCACTGCAGTGCCTGCCCAGTCCCCACCCCTCCATTAAATCCAGTGCCATCCCCTTTCCCCCTCCTGGCCCCTGGCTGCTCAGATGTCCCTCTTCCAGCCCACTCTGACAGGACCCTCTCTGGGAGTCCCTGCCCTACTTGTTTAAAGCCCGCCCATTCTGTGTGGCCCACTGCCGCAGGGGGCTAGGTGACAGCCATCCAGATTAAGCAGTTGAGGCCCACAGGGCTGAGGATTGATTAGTCCTCCAGGGGAGTGCCAGATGCTTTTCTTGGGGAGAGCCAAGGTGCTTCCCCCACACTGGCTCCGAACTGCAGGAATAACAATGCTGCCATCAGCGCGCTCAGGACTTCCAGAGCTTCCGGGCTTCACCATGCTCAAGTTTCCTGATGTTGACACCAGCTCTTTGAGCACCCCGAGAAGGGATTACAAAATCTGAGGCATCTGAGGCTGAGCAAGCTGGTGGAACTTACTGAGAGCATGGCAAGTAAGGGAGGGGCCCTGGCCCCTGGGAGGACAAATGTGGGAGGCCACCTAGGCCCAGCCGGCCCCTTCCTGGCCTCTCTCTCAAACCAGTCTCAGAAATCAGCTAGCCCTTCCCCCAGCCCAGTTCTTTCTCCTTTATTTCTGAGGAGGGACATGAGAGGCACTGTCCACCCCTGGAATGTGCCCTACCCACCTCTCAGGCCAGGTCCCTTCCAAGGCCACCCAGAGACACCCAGCCTGGAAGAGGGGCAGCTTGATCCAGGGAGAGGATTGGCACTTGACCTCCAAGGAGCCAGGTGGCCTGGGGACTGGAGTGCCCAGAGCCCTGGCCAAGTATCTCCCCTCATTACACTTGTTTAGGCCTCAATTTCTTCACTAAACATGGGCACAGTGCCCTTTGCCCTGCCTCCTGACACCTCACCCACAACCATGCCACGACAAAGCAGAGAGCTGGGCCCTGTGTCTGTCCTGTGGCTTCCTTCCCAGAAACCCCAAGGGAAGAAGACTCAGAATAAAGGCCCAGTGCAGCCTCCTCCCTCCTCCTGTCCCCTGGGCCTGGCCTTGTCGCCCTGCTAGTTCAAGAACTCTTGAAAATGGCCTCTTCTGCCCCTTCCTCCCCAGCTGATCCCACTTCAAATCTACCACCTACTCTTCAAAACCCATAAGCCCCAACCAGGAGGAAAACAGGCAGATCCAGATAGAAGGCCTTCCTGCCAAAACACGGGCCATTCAAACACCACCACTGCCCAGCCTTCACCTCGCCCTCCCCAGATGCCAGGGGAGCGGGTGGTCCTGGGGATGGCGGCCTGCCCACCCTGGAGAAGGGCCTGCAGCTGGGAAGTCACCACGGGGAAGATCAGCAACCCAGGGAAGTGCTTAGCCCATGAGAGACGACCCAGGCCAGCCACAACCGTGTATGGTCCCAAGGACAGCACCGATCTCAATCTCGGGAGGCTGAGAACGATTGTTGCCTTTCTGTTTCTTAACTTCTATTGTTGCTACAATGTTGTGCAGTCAATACACGTGAACAAAAGCTGCATTATTATTATTATCATTGTAAGGACTCCTCAGAGTCAATGATAACTCTGTCTTCTTTAAGGCACAATTATCTGAAGGTGAAGATCATAAAAGAGCAGCCCCAAATGAGGTCATAGCTGGCTCCCTGTCCCTGGCCTCTCTCCTTCCCAACTTTCTTGAAGAAGGAAGCTCCCTTCACTGCCTCCCATCATGCCTGGCCCTGATGGTGGCCATGGTGGCCATGTGGGAAGGGGCTTGGCAGGGTCCCTGAGAGTGTGTAGACCAGCAGGATCTCCCAAGGATCTGGGCTCCGTGCCCCTCCTGCGTACCAGCACTTGCAGCCCCGCCAGCACTTGCAGCCCCGCACAGCAGCCCCCAGCTGGCTCACCTGGAGAATGCAGCGGGCTGTCCTGTGCCTTCTCTGGGCCCGACAGCTGGAGAGCATGGCTTGGGGACTCTTTGGAGAGTGTCTGCCCGTCAGTCAGGGAGCTGTCGGGGACCAGAGAAAACATTGGTTAGAACATGACTCTGACCCAGCACACATCTCAGCACCTCAGGGTGGTGCTGCCATCTCGACTCCTGCAGACTCCTGGGGCCATCCACAGAGGGGCTCCAGGGGAAGTCAAGGGGACAAGACTTCAGTGGTTCCAGGGGCTGACCCTGCCCCCACCCCAGACTCTCCGTGCAGGTTCTGAGGGCTCAGTAAAAAAAGAAATCAAGTCCTGCTGTGCTCTAATTTGCTGTGTGACTCCATGCAAATTCATGCCTTTTCTGGGTCCCAGCGTCCCCATCTGGACAAGGAAGGGGTTGAGGCCTGGCACTGGAGGGTTCTGGGTACCATCCCTGTAGGGAGCAGGCTTTCAGGGCTGGGAGGAGCCCCCACCCACCAGTCCTCAGCCATGCTTAGAAACTCAGAAGGGGGCTATGGATATTCCTAGGGCTCTCAGGGGTCCTGAGCAGGTCCCCAGATGAGGCCTCCCCTCTTCCACAGTAGTTGCGGTGCACCCCATGTCTGTCCACCCCATGGAGAGAGCAGGCATGTGAGCAAGGAGACGTGGGACTCAGTGCCATCTGCCGTCACCCCTGGCTCAGACCTCCCTTGCTTCCCAGGCTTGGCAACCCTGTATAAAAGTCTCCTCTTCCGGCCAACCCAGGGATTACTGGGCTCCCATGATCATCTCAGCCTATCTCTCAGCACCATTTTTCCTCAGGGTTCACCTAGCCAGACCTCACCTTCCTGGGTCACTGTGCAGATACATTTCCGTACACACCTCAGGACAGTGCAGGGCTGCCAGTTTCCACAATCCAGGGACACCTTGCACAGTCATTGTCCATATAAACGGAGCCCACTGGAGTGGTTCAGTGTGCAACCTGTGCAGCTAGTCGTGGCAGCCCTGAGGGTAGGATCTTGGCTCCAGGGAGCCCTGTCTGTCTGTCAGGGTGGGGTTAACCCCGTCCCTGCCCAGTCCCCAGGAAGCTGAGCCAATTACCTGCTTCTCACATTCAGCCTTACTTCTTGCCGGTACTGCAGGTTCCGAACAAAACTAAGTTTGTGAACACACCCAGGCCCCCTTGGCGGCAGTCTGCTTAAGAACCTGAGATAGGTTTTAAAGCAAAAGACATCAGGAGGTTATGAAGGGAGGGGGAGGAGGGGAAGGGGAACGAGTGGGAAGCTGAGCTGGCCTCCTCTTGGGAACTTTGTGAGCAAGCCACCAGCCATGGGGCTGGAGCAGCCCTTCTGTTGCTATGGCAACTTGCTCCAGGGAGGTTGCAGAAGGACTAAAAGGATGACAAAGCATGGTTCTGGGATGAGGCCTACTGTCCCAGGCAGAGGGAAACAGAGGTTCCTGAATGCTGTGAAACTTGTCCTGCCGACTTGGGGTCATGAGCTATGGCCACGGTTTTCTTCGGTTGTCAGGTTGAAGCTGCCTCTACTTTGGGACAAAGAAGACTGTAATGTTCCCAGTTGGCCCTGAGCTCTGGGCTCAGGCAATGAGAGGGCGAACTAGACTCAGGGTCCTACACTGTGGCTGTCTGGGGAGGACCGTGAGGTCGGCTAGCGTCCGTGCTCCATCTCAGCCTGTGTCCTCAAAAGACGGGGCTGACAGCAGGACAAACTCAGTGCTCGGGGCCGATCAGCATTTGGTGTCACCAGCTGGTCAGCCACCTCACACCAGGCCAGGCCACCGTCCCATACTCTCCTACCATTCTAATCCCTTCCTCACAAACAAGTCTGTTTAAACCCCTACCATCAAAAGGTATAGGCAGCCTTTCTCCCCATCAGTAAAATTTACATAAACTGGTTCTGGTTTTAAAATAGCTAAACAAAGACTAAATGAAAACACAGCCACCTAAAGAAGCCGAGCGCCAGGCGTACCCCTGCACACTAGCGGGGGCTTCCTGCCGCTGTCCGTGTGTGGCTTCCAGCAGCTCATCTCCCTACTGCCTTGCCGTTTCTTTCCATGGTGGAACAGAAAACGAAACGTCCAAGCTTGTTAGAGTTGTAGGTCAAATCAGAGGCGATGTTTCAAGGTGGAACCTACCATGTTGTGCTCAAAGAAACATACCTAAGGTTTGGGGAGCAAACCCTACCCTACTTTGACTCCTGAAAAGCTTTTGGGGCCCTTCTGATTCTAGCTGTTATTCTGGGAAGGACAGATGGCCGATGAATGGTCCCAACAGATGAGGCGACACTACTGTCCTCGTGACCCTACTAGCCTGTTGGGTGTGATTGACTCATTCCCGTCATTCTGGGAAAGTGCGCTGGTCCTGGAATGCGGTGCTCAGAGGCTGGCAGAAGTCCCAGACGCGGAAATCACTCAACATAATAGAATGGCAATAATGGTGGGCAGTGGCCAGGGGAAGTGACTGCTTCTGTCTGCATTTCCAATTCCTAGGAAGAGGAATACCCTACAAGGGCCTTCCCCTAAGGCGGACAAGGATCGTTCTCATCCCTGGCTCACATAGGCACTCTACAAGCACATTGCCTCACTCTCCTTTCACAAGACACACACGCATAGCTTTATTAGTGCCTGCCCAGTAGCATGAGAGCAAGTAAACAAAAGGCATGTTTGAGCAAACATGGTTCGAGGTGTGTGGGGGCAGAGGAGCCTGGGAGAGGCCGCACCGTACCTTTCTCTGCAGTATTGCTTGGTCAATCTTGCCAGAGACCTTGCCAGACAGAGGTTCAAGTGGGAACCATCTGAGCACATAGCCGCCTTCAACTCTGCCTTCAGGAAGCCCTCCTAGATTTTCCCAATACCCTCTCAACCCCATGGCCCTTGGACACTCAGGTTTGGGCTCTGAAGGCCACATGTGCTTGGGAAGCTCCTTGAGAGCAGAGGTCACCCCTGATTCAGTTTTGTCCTCTGGCCATGAGCACTCACCACTGGAGCTCATAAACATTGGTTGGACCTAACCCTTCTCAAATTGTCACTATGTGTGTGACACACAAATCAAGGACAGCCTTCATTTCTCATGAGAAACCCTCATGGATGAGTATCCATTTCCTATATTCCTGTTGCTCTTTCTTCCCATTTAGCCCTCAGCTGTCAGGCCACTGTTCTATATGCAGTAGGTGCTCACTGAATGCTTTCTTGAAACAGCATAGCATTGAAGTTCACCAGAGACTGTCTGCCTGCTTGGGTTCAAGTCACTTTACTAGCTGTGTGACTGTGGCCAAGTTGCTATACCTCTCTGAGCCTCAGTTTTCTACCTGTGTCCTATGGCTATTGTGAAGAGAAAATGATATATGAAAAGCGCTTAGTACATAGTCAGCTGGCATCATTATTATGGGTGGGTTCTCCCGGATCTTTTGGGGAGCAAGAAGATCCTTGGGCTCAACTGGGAGGGTGACTGAGTGGGGCAAAGACCCTGACCCCAAGTCTGCGGGCCCAAATGCTGTGCCAACTTCTCTGCCTGGAAGACGGGCTGGGGCCTGGAGGTGGGAGGAAGGTAGGGTCCTTGTTCCTTACACGGTCCTCAGGACGGAGCTGGCAGACCTGAGCAGAAGCACCTTTGGCATGGTACCTGTGGGGTGGCTGCACCCCGAGAGCTCACCCGGGAGAGAACAAGAGTCTCCGAGGACGTGTCACAGCGTCCCCCAGGGAGAGCCACAGCAGGCCCCGCCAGGCCCAGCTCCACCAAACCGCCCTGCAACAGAGACACAGTGTGAGTCACGCCCCCACAGCCTGGCTGGGTGAGGGGACAATTGCCCTCCTTCCTAGGCCTGACTCATCTGTCCCTGGGGCTGGGCACCTGGCTATAATCTGCTGCCTTGGAAGCCCACACCCTCAGACGGAACAGGGAATGACACTCACTACACAGGAGGCGGCTGCCTTAGGGCTCTGGTCTCTATTCCCCAGGGCCTATCGCTCACCAGGATGAGAAAATAAATACAATTTCCAGGACTCCTGCTTTGCAAAGACTTCTGACTCCCCTCCCTGCCCTCCCTATAACTCGTAGTTCTCACCTCTCCCTCTCAGGGGAGCAGTCAAAGAACTATCTTCCAGAGGATGGAGAGAGAACGTTCTCAATGGAGGGTATTGCCTAAATATTTCCCCATATCTAAAAACCCCAAATAGGGAGAAAAGCAGTGCCTCCTCCAACCCCGCAGTGCTGGCCGCGCAGGCTTGTCCCTGTGCACAGCCTGGTGCTCCCAATGACAACAACGTCATCTGCAAGGAGGGCTCCACGCTGGCCTCCCCTTGCCCTGTGTGGCAGACCCCACGCCCCTGCTTCTCTTCAGTCTGCGTGGACTGCCTCGCCGCAGAGCTATGGCCTCTGGCAGCTCCCTCCTGACTCCCAGTTCCAGCCCGAAGACCCCCGCAGTGGACTCACAGCAGAGGGCGTGGCTGAGAGGGGCCTGCCGCCCCAGGGTGCTCACCTTCCTCTTCTTGCAACTGGCAGACGCAGGGCTCAGCATCCCCTCTGCTCCCACAGCCAGGACATGGTGCATATGGCAGCCCTTGCCTGTGGGTGCCCCGGGTTCCAGGCGATGAGGCAGCGGGGCTGGGCATGAGTGGGGACCCGCCCCATCCCGCCCCGGGGCTGCCGGTGAGGTGTGGCCCCAGATACCTCTGACCCACATGGCAGAGGCCCCAGCTCCCCACCTGCGCAGCTCTTACACAACAGGGCGGGTGTCAGGAGAGGCACCTGCCCGTGCAGGTGGAGAGTCGGTCTGTTGGCTGTCATCCTTCGAAGAGCCTTGGAGGACATTTCTCCTGCCACTGGGCCCCAGGGTTAGGTGGGAAGGTTGACTTTGTTGTTTTCTTCTGTTTTTTACTTTTCTTTACTAAGTGTATACACTATGTCAAGTGCTTTATGTATTTGGTGCTTGCATCCTCTCCATGGCCCTGCAATGTAGATTTTATTCACGGTGGCATTTTCCAGAAGAGACTATGGAGGCCCAGAGAGCTCTGGACTTGCTCAAGTTACTCAGCCAGCAAGAGGTGGAACCAGCATTTTAAACCCAGGTCTACAGCTGGCTCTGAAGCCAGGATACCACGCACTCTAGGTTTACCCATTATTTGCATCATAAAACTCAACCTGCCACTTCACCTCTTCCCCATCCTACCTCTGGAGAGCCCCTATTCCATGGTAATGGATATCCCTGAACTTTGTCCTCTGCCTCTAGTGTTCTCACCCCACCTCCTCTGCCACTCCAGGAACTAGCAGGTTTGTGGCAGCAGCACCTTCCTGCTCCCTGGAGAGCCCCTCCCCACCCACCATGCTGTCCTGCCTCCCCTGGGGAGACTCCCCCAGAGCTCCCTGGGGTCCTTGGTGGTGCTCTGCCCACCTCTCAAGCCCCTTTCCCCCTTGGGGAACTCACTCATCCTTTTCACCTTTAATTACCACCTCGAGCTGCAACTCCCAAATCCTCTGCTGCCTCTGGAGTGAGTGGGGGTTGGATGATGTGAGAAAATGGAGGCAGCCCTAGATGGTGTTGGGGGACATTTTAAGCCCCAATTTTGAGGCCAAGAGGTCAGGCAGCAATGGGGTTAAGGGTTTGTTTGAAGGCCCTCCACCTAGGGAGATGGCAAACGACCGTCAGATTGCTACTGAGCTGGTAGGTCAGTGCCAGCACCCCAGCTTCAAGAGAATTCTACTTTATGTACTTGGTCCTTGCATTCTCTCCATGGCCCTACAATGTAGATTTTATTCACAGTGGCATTTTCCAGAAGGGGCAATGGAGGCCCAGAGAGCTCTGGACTTGCTCGTGTTACTCAGCCAGCAAGAGCCAGAGCCAGCATTTTTTTTTTTTTTTTTTTGAGACAGAGTCTCGCTTTGTTGCCTAGGCTAGAGTGAGTGCCGTGGCGTCAGCCTAGCTCACAGCAACCTCAAACTCCTGGGCTCAAGCAATCCTCCTGCCTCAGCCTCCCAAGTAGCTGGGACTACAGGCATGCGCCACCATGCCCGGCTAGTTTTATATATATATATCAGTTGGCCAATTAATTTCTTTCTATTTATAGTAGAGACGGGGTCTCGCTCTTGCTCAGGAGAGCCAGCATTTTAAACCCAGGTTTAAGCTGGCTCTGACCAAAGTCCACTTCCATAAAGGCCTCTTTTCCCAGCGATCCTTTCCCATGGATAGTCTTGAGTCTCTGATGGGAAAGGAGCCCTTTTGAGAACCTGCTGGAAGCCATCCCCTCACCACCACCACCCATCAATGTACTTCTGCACCCAGATGCTCTCTTGCTATTTCAGGTTCCCGTGGGACTCCAGAAGCCCATGCTATACATTAACAATCCAACCCTAGTTCAGACCTCTCCCCTGTCTGAAGAGCTTAAGATGGAATTGTCTTTCTCCTTGTCCCTCTGTCCTGGTGAGGGCTGAGCAATGATGTTAAAGATGGGAGTTGGCACCGGTGCTTGACATGGTTGGGGGAGGCAGTAGAAATGCCCCCACCTCAAGGCTAGCAGGAGCCACATGCCCAGATCTCTTGGCCCTGTGGGCAGCTCAATGGCCACTCTGGATATAGAGTTTCCAAATTGATGAGGTTTTCCAACCTCAACAGTTAGAAAGCCAGCATGTGGCTCACTCCAGGATCAGGAGGGCTTGGGAAATGTGTAACTTTCCCTTGCCATCCTTCCACAAGGCCCGCCAGCAGACCTGCCCTGGCAGAGACTCCTCCTGTGGGGAGCCCTCTGGGAGGGGCCTCGGCGCTCACACTTCTTCTCGGAGCTGCCCTGTATGATCTCTTCTCAGGGCACATAGTATTTAGAGTTTGGGTATTGCTTTAAAAAAAAAAACCATAATTGTCTGCCATTAAATAAAACTATTAATTAAATCCTCATTCCCAGAGTTGGAAATGATCTCTCCCTGCCCCAGTGACTGACTGCTCCACCAGGATCCTCCTTCCATCTGTGCATACTGACCTAGCACCTCCTCTGTGCCAGGCGCTGCGTGGGCCGTGGGGTAGGGTGAGCGGAATGGACTGGGTCCCAGCCTCAGAGGCTTAGAGATGATGGGACCGATGCTCAGTTAACAAAGAGGCATTCACTGTGGGCCACCTGCCCAGGCCTGGGGAGGACACAGTGAAGTTAAAGCGAGAGAGCTGATAAGGGGTGAAGGTCTGGCTACTTCATGTGAGGCAGAGGACAGGTGCCCCAGGTGATGGGGCAGTAGGGCAGGCTGGTGCAGACAGGAGCCAAAGCCTAGGTGACAGACCCAGGCTGTGGGCCATCCCCAGCCTTCGTCCCCCAGCTCACAGGGGTAGGGACTTGGGCTGAGGCAGAGATCTGCTCAGGACTACTCATACTCTTTCAGAAAGGGTGTGGGCAGAGCAGGGATATGTTTAAGACATATCCCCCCAGAATCCACCAGAAAGAACATATTTGGAGCAGGTATCCAGAACCCTTGACTGACAGAAACTCCAGTCCAAGGCCTACACAAGTGTGTGTTTACTAAGAGCCTTCCACCCCAACAGGCTCATCCTGCCTGGCTCCTGCCTTGGCGGGTGGGGCGATACAGCCAGCCAGCTCACTTTTAGCCCAGTTGGCAGTGCCCAGAGTGTCCAGCCCTGCCAAGCCAACTCCAACAGCTTGCTGTATGGAGATAAGTGTGTCAGATATCAATTCCCACTGCAAAGACCAGAAGGACTCTGCAAGCAGTTTGGTCATACCCAGAACAAAATTCTCTGGGCAATGGGACATCTGGCTTTTCACCCAGGCCCTGTCTCTGTTGTGTGACCTTGGGCAAGTCCCTGGTTCTCTCTGGGACTCCATTTCCTTCGATGTCACAGATAAAAGGGCTTCCAATTTTCTATTTGAGATTGGTCACCTAGGGGCCTAGGCTGAAATTCTGCTGCACCAGGTACCGACAACTCTTCAAGGTTGGTGGTTGTGAGGCTCCCAGGCCCGAGGGGGGAAGCCAGATGAGAATAATATTAATAGTACTAGCTAGTAATTAACACATACCTAGCACCTACCGTGTGCCAGGGAATGTTCCACGCACACATTTCCATTTATATATATGTTCCATTTATATATATGGTCAAAGTATACATAAATGTATACTTTACACGTATATTAACATGTCCAATCCCCATAACAGTCCAATGAGGTGCTATCACCATCCCCACTTTACAGATGAGGAAACAGGTACAGAGATAACCGAAATTGTCCAAGGTCTTTTGGTTAGCAGAGTCAGGATATAAACTCAGGAATTGGGCTCCAGAGTTTATGCTTTTAACCAACCAGCCATTCCCAATAGCCTCAGGCCTTTTGGGTGATTAGGGTGGGGTGGGACCTGAACAGGGATGGGGAGATGCAGAGAGTGAGGCATCTCAGGGTCTTCTAAACTCCCTTCTCCCACCATTCATCATCAGACACTTTTGAAAACTGTTGTATATAAGTAACATGCATATATTAAATCATAATTAAGGCATTTTCTTATGTTGTATTGATGACAAGCACAGAGAACTGCCAACTGGTGGTTTTGAGCATCATGGGGAAGGCAGTATAAAGCTCAGAGATGACATAATTCAATCCCCAAGTGGAGACTACTAGAAAATCACTATCTCACCATCACTCGCCATTTTTATTTGCAGTACCACAAGTGTGAGTTTGGGCACACTCCTTCTCCTATTAGGGCCTCAGTTACCCCATCTGTGAAATGGGGTGGTGGATGAGATGGCCTCTACATCCTAGTCTAATGATAGATGATTCTCCTCCTTTCTTCTAGGGACACTAGAAGAAGGATGAACGCTGCCTATTGCTCAGGCTCCAGAGAAACTTCACGAGGTGGGGGTGGGGTGAAGCTGGGGGGAGGCTTCCACCAATGAAGGCCCTGTGTCCTACAGTGGGCTGATTCTGCTCACAGACTTGGTCCCTGCCCTGGAGGAGCCCAGGGTCTAAAGAGGGGGATGAAGAACAGAAACATACACATGTCCTGTTCACGTGAGAGGCATCTCTGCACATAGCAGGGAAAGGGGCCATGCGTGAGGGCACAGAGCAGCAGGAGGATGGTCTTCTGGGGAAATTTATTTCACTTTGGCATTTAGTGTGTTCCAGTTGCTCTATATGTATTAACTCATTTAATTATCTCAACAATCCTATCAAGTAGGTACTGAATTATAACCCCCATTTTATGAGGAAATGGAAGTATAAAAGGATGAGATAACTTGCTGACGTTTATACAGCTAGTAATGGGGACAGTTGAGATTCAAATCTAAGCACTCTGACTTCAGACTTCATGTTCTTAACCATGATATGCACCACCTAAAACTGGGCAAGGCTCTGCGAGGTCCCTGGCACCTCACCACACACTTCTACAACACAAGATTTCCTAGGGAACAATAGACTAGAAAGGCAGAGCACTGTGGCTAAGCCACTAGTTTCATATGCATGTGTATTTAAATTATTTATACCAACATACTATTGACTCCGTTCAACATATCTTTCAGGATATCCAGCATACAAGGAAGAATGAGTAAACATCTGAAAAAGTAGGAAAATGTGAGCCAAGATCAAGAAAAAAAGCAGTCAATAGAAACAAACCCTGATATGAGACAGATGTGGGAATAAGCATACAAGGTAATCTATGTATACAAGGTAAGCTATTAATACATGTTTAAGAATATAAGGGAAAATTAGAGCTAATTGATGAACAGATGGAGAATCTCCACATGAAAATGGAAAATATAAGAAAAATACAATCTCTAACATGAAAAAATCACCAGATGGGCTTAACAGCAGATTAGAAACTGAAAAAAATGTTAGTGAACTTGAAAATAAAGTATAGAAATTATTCAATTCAAAGTGTAGAGAGAAAAAATATTTTTAAATTGAATAGCACAAAACATTCTTGAAGGAAATTAAGGAATACCTGAGTAAATAAGAAAACATCTCAGGAT